TATACCGAACTAACACATTATTATTCAATTGCAGGGACAATTGTTGCATATTCCCCATAAAATATATTGAATTTTTTAGTATAGCACACAAGTTGATGGAATTAAGCAATTATGGATTAAATTTGGACGAATAAGTTAGCGTGTGATTTATATAAATTTAATTGTTATCCATAAAATATTGTATATTGAATTATTTCATTAACTATGAAATAATTGTAAATATTGTAAAATTTATATAGACACTCCCATTGCACTAATCGAGGATGTTCAACAATAAGTCCAAATTTAGTCAAACTTTAGTCTAACATATTAAGAGACTTAGTCCTATTGATTGAATTTAATTAATGCCATTTGGGGGGATTTCAATCGAGATACCTGAAACATTTTTTTTTTGTAATTATAAAATAATTGTAAATATTGCACATTGATTTTTTTTAATTATAAAATAATTGTAAATGTTGTAAAATTTATGTAAACATTATACATTCAATTTTTTTTTTTTTTTGTAATTATGAAATACTTGTAAATATTTTAAAATTTATGTAAACATTGTACATTGAATTATTTATTTAATTATGAAATACTTTTAAATATCGAAAAATAGATGTAAATATTGTTCATTTAATAGTAACATCATTATATATTGACCAATTGTCATTTAGGACAATATAACTTATACAAAATTGGCAAGAATGCCTTATTGCTTTGCACCGATCGCACCTATATAGTCAAGAAAACTCTCTGGTAAATAGTATTCTGGTTGTATGTAGAAGTCTAAAATTATGCGGTTCAACTTTTAGTGACAATAATATATTAATCGGGAGAATATGGTCGGGGAATTTCTTGCTTGAATTTATTTGGAAGAGGAAATATAGTCACAGCATACGCTGCTCTATAAGAATTAGCTGTGTAAAAAGGAGAGTATAATGCTCTCATTGCAATGCCTCGATATATAGCCATAACAACTGCATTTTCACATGAAAAACTCTTCAACTGAAATCGACTATAAAGGACATCAGTCAAGTCCACCATGTATACCGTATTACGTGCACATTTCACGGAGAGGCACAACTCATCCAACTGTTTCACATTCAACTTTCTAGCAACCTTTAAGAGTTTATCTTCTTAAGCAGGGGCTAGCACGCTCGTGCAACTCTATGGTTCTGCATGTTAATCATGAAATCACTGTTGCAGTTTTTTAGGGATGTTCTTAATCATTGCGAGAATTGATAACTCTCGATTATTCTTGAATAAGACATTGAGAGACTTCACATTGTTCGACGTCATTATGTTGTATCGATGTCCTAAAAAATGTGGATGCGCCTAATGTTCAATCCCCATTTTTTATAGATAATCCCATGTTAGGGATGATTTACAATCCATTTCGATCATAAACTTATTACACTCCTCAACACTGAAAGTTTTGATCGCTTTTCTGAACAATGAAACGTTATCTTTGCCTTCATACCTAGTCTTTAGATTACTTTGTATATGGTACATGTAATACCTATGATGTGCTTTAGAAAAAATTTCAACGATACCATTTATTATAGACGGTTTCCAATCGGTTACAATAGCAAGGTCCTCAATCTTTTCGATCACTTCCCTCAGTTTTGTAAAGAACCAACACATCAATGAATCATTTTCATTGTCAACTATGCCGAGTATAAGAGAGTAAATTAGGATGTGGGCGTCTTGACATATAGCAATAATCAACTTGCCTTGGTATTTAGCTTTCAAAGTTGTACGATCGACTAGAATTTCGAGTAACATCGCATTTCAAAATCCTCCAACGCTTATTCTTTGTCCTTTCAGGCCTTCTTGTAGCTCATGACCATTTTGTACTTTAGATGGATTTCGTCAATGATGTCCGAATGTTTGTATATCATCCATGGATCCTAATACTTGTGCATTATTTGTCTACTAATAAACCATGCTTAAGTTTGTATGTAATCATTTCGACGAATTCTCACTTTGCAAGTATGTTCCTGTGTATATTTGTGAACTCAAAGTTGTATTTTAATACCATCCGATGCACAACTTCCTGCAATTCTTTCTTTGTTTTAAAGTTGCTTAACATGTAAATCCTCATCCTTGAGCTCCCATGCCGCTCATGTCTCTAACGAGATAAAGTAATCAAATCCTCATTTGTAAATTTATTTTCATTCTCGTTATCGTAAACTATCGAAAAAATTCTGTGCGTAACAGCGAGATCACGATAAGGAACAACTGTTTCGGGAATAACCACATCATCCTCACGACTTATCTCCAATGTGTCCCAAAAATCAATAGCATTGTCATTCACTCATCCGAGTTTTCGTGTTCACCTTCGATGACATCCTTCCTCACTAAAGTCATGTAAAGAGAAGTCATGTGCATTTTGTTCAATTCAGATAGATAATTCACTTCAACATTTGAAGTAACATTCATAGGTGGAATAGAAATTGATGAATGCTCGTTGAATAGAACTGTTTGATCCATATCATACTGAAGAGATTGACATTCAACTTGTTTTATAAGTCATGGTACATTATTGCATGCGATATTCTCTGTTATAAAATTTAGAATACTACCATGTATGTCACCCGACCATTTTCATACTTATTGATCATTATTATCTAATTCGAAATCACCAAAATAACAAATCGAGATTACAATCATATTTGTATGACGAAATTAAATTTTTAATTATATGAAAAAATAATAAAAAATTTGGCTCAACCACAGTGGCAATAGAAATTTATAAAAAAATTAACAGTCGACTGGGTTGACTGGTAACAGCTGGCTATTACGTTTGTACGATAATCGACTGTTATAGTCGTGCAGTAATCGGTTGTTACGGTCGACCGTTAAATAGCGGACTATGTTGTGCATCGACTATGTTATGCCGGGCTGAAATAATTCATTATACAGATGATTTTTTTCTTATTTGTGTTTACAATTTTTTTATATATGTTAAAAAATTTATTTACATGTTAATCTATGTCGAACTAAGATTTATCTATTAAAGACGTATACTAATCTAACAAAAATGAAATTAAACATATGTAAATATACTTATTGATTCAAAGTGATTGATATAAAAAAATCTTCTTGTTTAGCGTACGATAAAATTTTGATATTTTGAAGTTGAAGAAGATGAAAAATGAGAGGGTCTGTGTTGACATAAACAGATAAGAAAAATTAGCTGATTTTGAAATTTTAAATGGAAAGTGTATAGTTTTCACTTGTTAATTAAAATGGTCTAATTGTCTTTTAAACAAAATAATATTTGGTAATTGTATAATATAATTAAGGTTAGTCTTTTACCATCCGAAAGACCATTGTGGAAATATGATATAGTTTAAAAGTCAAAGTGAAAAATAAAAGGTTTGACTGGATTAATTTTAAAAGTAGCCCATCGGAATAGGTTTGGTAGACTTAATATTTAAAAGAATAATTTTATCATTTGATTATTGAAATGAAAAATTGAATGGACGTGGAGATAATTTTCTCTTTTCCTCATGTGAACCAACCCACCACACTACAAACAAGGTCAAGGGAAAAGATCACAAATCAGGTTTTAACTATGCGTAATTTAATATTCAGGTTACAAGTTTCATTAGTTCAAAAATCAGGTTTTAACTAATTAATTAAAAATATTTATTAAATAATGAAAATAAAGTCACAATTATATTATTAATGGTCACAGATTCACAAGTTTAGGTCATAGATTTATTTACTAGTCACATATCATCAAATTAATTGATCACAGAAAAGCTCACAAATTGAAATTTTGATAGGTCACAAATTATTTTAAAGTCACGTATCAAAAAATTTGGTCACAAATTGACAAATTATAGGTCCCAAAATTGTCACAAATCCAAAAAATTTAGGTCACATGTCACATATTTCAAATTTGATAGTCACAGATTACCTTTTTAGTTAAAAAATGATTGAATTTTAAGGTCAGATTAATAGTCACCACAATACTTGGTCACAATCACTACCCCCGCCACACCACCACCACCACCAAGTCACGCTGATTGCAGCTCCATTCTCACCAAACTGCACATTTTTACTCACAATGGCGATAGAGAGAAGGAAAGAGGTAAAACACCACCAACCACCACTACCACCAAGGCGAATCTGTAGCGATTTTTCTCACCAGACCGATGACGACGAACATGAAGAAGGAAGAGAAGAGATTGACAACCACCGTCGCCACTTCCACGACCACCACCATTGACAACCACCGTCGCCGCTTCCATGACCACCACCATCGCCTTATCGCCGCCAACCAACATCACAGCCACCATCACCCAAAACCAACAACAAATCAAATCACACAATCACCTCCACTACTACAATCACCGCCAAGATCTGAAAATACAACCAACGAAATCCAAACACACCAAAAATACCTCGAAATCACTACCTGCAGATTGGATCTGGAGTCGGTCCTGTGTAGTTGCAGTACACCCAAACCAACAGCGATGTAGCCGGTTGTGTGCAGCCGCCATCCGAGCGCGATGATGCTGCTGCCACTGCAAGAATCATTGCGCTGATCGTGTGCAGTCACCTGAAAGATGAACTTGAAAAATTGTGGAAGTTGAGCGAGGAAATAACGGAGATTGTTTGTGAGAAGAATTGAGGGGTTTCTAGTAACGGAGGAAGTTACAATAATCCCGTATATGAATGCTAATTTCATGGGATACGTGCGTCATTTAATTAAAAGATTTTAATATTTAATTATAATGTTTAAAACCTGAAAACTGCACAAATAAATTTCAGCTCTGAAATATGAAAAGAGATCTTTTAAGTACATGTGGGTGCATAATTTCCTCCAAGGTCTATATATTTACCAACCAAGCCCGTGATCCGAATCCTATCGACTAGCCCAATCATTGCATTTCCCAGCCAACCCAAGACCACACAAGACCACAATCCCACGTCAACACACTACGATAAGCCCATCAACATCAAAACCTCATACCCAGCCCTCAAAACCATACCCACTAACCCGACCCAAATCCCTCCCAACTCCCAAATCCGATTGACGCACATAGCCGTCGTAATCTCGTCGGCCGATCACCATTGGTACCACTTCTGTATTCGTCTCCGTCGTCGGCTGACAAGACCACCACAATCCACTGGAATTCACTGCTCTATTGACTACCACTATTTGTTTTTCCATCACAAGTCATTGGTCGAATCATCACTACCAGCACATACATCGCACCATACGCCGGAGTCACCTTTTCTGATCTACAATGATCTACCACCATTGACGCTTGCTTTCTCCACCACCATCGGCTACATAGTCTGCTGCGAAATTGGTGATCGCTATTCTGGTATGATATCCGCAAATTTTCTAGTATTATTAGTAGTTTAAAACTTTAAATCCTATATAAAGTTGGACTCTTGATGACCTTCTCCTCCAATTTCTTCTGTTGCCTTCTCCCGTTTCTCCTTCTCTTCTCTACTCTTTCCTTCTATTATTTTGGTTCTTGTTCATTGCTTTCTACGTCACTGTGGTAAAAAAAAATAAAAATAAAAATTCATAGCAATTACAATTCGGATTTTGAATTTCCAAGGTATAATACTCTTAATACTGATGGAACAATCCTCAATGAAAGTTGATCTTGACTCTCTTCTCCAATCGCACGGCGGAGTAGATTCCGATTCTTCCGATGAGGTGGATTCCACCTTGTCTTATAGTAAACACCGCACGGTCGATGAAATTCTTTTAAACAATTCCTCATCTTCTTGCTCTCCCTCTCCCCCTTCTTCCCCTAAATTATTACATTCACACCCTTCTACATCTGTGGTTGAACTCAACAAATTTAAGAGTTCAACTACTAGTGCTAGCTTTGATAGCTCTAGTAGCAGTAGAATTAAGTCAGCGGATGAGAATACTGCTCCTAGTTCTTTTTCGTTGAGCCGGATTGTTTTACCGCCACTATTCATCAATGGGGCAGTCAGCTCCCAAACTAAGCCAGGGGCTGCTCTGGCGGCTGCAGCAGCGGCATCCAGATCAGTTCCTACTCCCCACGCGGCTGCCATCAAGTTGAGAAGGGCCAATACCAGTGCTCTGCAGAGTGTGGCTTTGGAAGCCACTGCTATTGTTGCTAGTGTAGAAACGTCATCTTCATCAGCAGCTTCCAAAGATTCTGAGGTGGGTTCTGAGACTGGTTCTGAGAGCCATGGCTTGCGTGTTCTTGAAAACAGTAGTGACCACTCAGAAGAGGTTAAATTGGATGTTTTTCAATCTGCACAAGCTAAAGTTAGATTAACCGAGACTGTAGGTACTATCGACGATCCCACTGAGAGTGCTCAAATTTTAACTAGTGATGAAACTTCAACTGGGGCTGCTACTGTGGATGAACATTTAACAATTGGGGAGCAAGTTTCTGAAAGGCTCATTTCTGAATCCCATATCAGCTCTACTGTTGAAAATGAAAAACAGCTTGAATTTAATGAGAATAGGGTGGATTCAGTTTTGGATGAAGTTAATGAAAACAAACAAGTGTTATCTTCCTTATCCAACGACAACAGTGATGTAAATACTGAAATTAACTATGTTGATGAATCCAATGAAATTAAAGATATGGCTGTTCCTAGTCCACCTTCTTTAATTTCCAACGACACAATAAGTTCAGATGAAATTGTGAGTTTAATGGGAGAAGAAGAAGCAAATGATAAGGGGGATGTAATGGATGAATCTAGAGATGTAGATGATGCTAGTTCGCAATATGATGCTGAAGATATTACTGAAGAATTAGGTTTAAAGTCAGAAAGTAAGAGGGGAAGGAGAAAGTCACAAAAGAAATCTCAATCTTCCTTGAAGCCGCTTGAATTGGCTGAAGAACTTGAGAAGAAACAGGCATTTAAGGGAATGCATTATGAAGAGGGTGTTACTTCTCAACCAATGAGGCTTGAGGGTGTCCGCAGGGGCTCTACTGTGTTGGGTTACTTTGATGTCAATGCCAACAATACCATTACTCATACCATCTCATCACAAGCTTTCCGGCGAGATCATGGGACCCCTCAAGTCCTGTCAGTTAATTTTAACTACATTGCAATTGGGATGTCTAAAGGAACTATTGTCATCGTGCCCAGCAAATATATTCCTCATCAAGTTGACAACATGGATGCAAAGGTTTACTACTATATTCATTCTTCAGTTATACTCTATTTACCTTTTAATACGATAAACACATCTTTTCACACAATGACGACAGTTTCTGCTTCATTTTCTTGTTTGTACCTCTGCATATATTTTTTATGAGTATGCTTGGACAAGTATAGTTCCGGTTCTTTTTGTCAAAGGTCATGGAGAATGATAAAGACACTATTGTTTTTGGAAAGATCAAAGCTTTTGCAATGACTCGGCCTTTTCGAAAGGGCCTTTTTTCTCATTGCGACTAGATACATTTTACAGCCTTGAACTAATAGTCAGGATATTTCTAATTTAACTTATTTTGCTTATTGAATGATGCAAATATGTATTCCAGATGTCGGTGCTTGGATTACAAGGAGATAGAACTCACGTTCCAGTAACTTCCATGTGCTTTAATCAGCCAGGAGACTTGCTTTTTGCAGGATATGGTGATGGGCACTACACTGTTTGGGATGTGCAGAGGACCTCTGCACTTAGAGTGATTAATGATCATAAAGCTCCAGTAGTTCACATGCTATATGTAGGGCAGGATACTCAGGTTACACGTCAGTTTAATGTGGTTAGTGGGGATAGTAAAGGTGTGGTTAAGTTGATTCGTTTTTCAGTGGTTCCATGGCTCAATAGAATTTCTTACTCCAAATCGATGGTAAAGATCTATCCTTGATAAGTGTATTGTTAATAAGTACTGTCAGTTTCCTCAAATTATTAAAAGTTACTTTTATGTTCAAGAGCAGAAGCTTCTAGATGAAACAACTAGCAGAGTAGTGTGTGCATCTCCATTACTGTCAGGTGAAGTTCATGGAGGTGCACACATGTCCTCTCAGGGTAGCAGTGCAGTTTCTACAGGGAGTATTAGTAGCATGATGGGAAGTGTGGTTGAAGAAGGTGTTGTCATCTTTGTCACGCACCAATCTGCTCTAGTGGTATGGTTTTATTTTATTTTATTTTGAATAAATTGCAGTGATTCCTTGTACCTTCTGTTATTTTGATATCATTAGTCTCCTGTAGGCAAAAGTTAATCCTACTGTAGAAGTATATGCTCAAATTCCTAAACCTGATGGCATCAGGGAAGGCGCCATGCCTTATGCTGCATGGAGATGCATTTCGCGGTCACCTGGTTCTTCCACCGGTATGTATGAATGAAGTTCTTATTATTTTTCAGCTGTTGGAGGTGTTGATATGAATTTCGAATTTCAATTTCTACGTTTATTCCAGAAAATGCACCCGCTGACACACTAGAAAAACTGTCACTGCTTGCAATTGCTTGGGATCAGAAAGTTCAGATTGCTAAGCTGGTGAAATCCGATCTAAAGATACTTGAAAAGTGGACTCTGGAAAGTCCGGCAGTAGGCCTGGCATGGTTAGATGATCAGGTTTAAAGCATATATAATCTAATCCTCTTTATGCATATTGGTATATTTTTATTTTGGTCATGATTAGCATGTAATTATGTTTGCATTATTTGAAGTTTAACATTTTATTAATTCAGATAGAAGTAGAAGAAATCATGGTTATCTTATATTGTCCAGATGTTGGTGATTCTCACTTTGACAAGACAACTCTATTTGTTTGCAAAAGACGGAAATGTGATTCATCAGACAAGCTTTGCTGTGGATGGATTGCGAGGGGATGATCTCATTTCATCACATATCTACTTTACTGATACTCTTGGTAACCCTGAAAAGGCTTATCACAATTGTGTAGCTGTAAGGGGGGCTACTATATACATACTTGGGCCAGAGCATCTTATTGTTTCCCGCTTTCTTCCCTGGAAGGAAAGGATTGAAGTTTTGAGGAAAGCAGGTGATTGGATGGGCGCATTAAACATGGCAATGACACTTTATGATGGCCAGTCACATGGTGTTATTGACCTTCCCAAAAATTTGGATGACATACAGAGGAGTATTATGCCCTATTTAGTGGAGTTGCTTCTGACGTATGTAACTGAGGTATTTTCCTATATATCAGTAGCATGTTGCAACCAAAATGGGACTCTGGACCAATCCAATGAGATTAAGGAGCAATACACTCGTGTTGGTGGCGTTGCAGTTGAGTTCTGTGTGCATATCAGGAGAACCGATATCCTCTTCGATGAAATTGTTTCAAAATTTGATGAAGCTCAGCATAAAGGTACTTCATTATTTTTCTCACTGGAACCTTTAACTGAATCATATGAGAGCATGGATTTTCAATAAGGTTTTCCTGAGTCAATGGATTAATGACTGGCTAGGAATATAAACTCAGCAGCGAACCAAATCCTAGCTCTTGGATGACGTGACTGATGGAAATTTAAGTAATTATTTACTGAAAATTAATTAATAAATGATAAATTTTTTAAAAACTTAGGCAGCCTCATATTCTAAGAAATTAAAGATGTTTCCTGTTTTCATCACGAGGTTTATTTTAGGCTATGTTACATGACTCTTGTAATGGGTGTCTGACATGGAAATACTGTGAAGTGTTGGATTTGAAAAGAAAAAAACCTACTATTTGTACTCAAAAGGATTTAACCCTCAATCAAATGGTCAATGTAATGTTGTTTTTTAAGTTTCTGAAGCCTATTCAAGTGAATTAGTGGCTGGATTCTTGTGTGATTATTGTAGTTAATACGGATTTATCAGATGAGATGATGGTTTTGTTAGTTGTCCATGTTTTTAGATGCACTTTTTCTCAGTGACATGGGTGGGCACTATTCTTAATTCTGCGATGGTGGTTGTGCACTGAAAGATAAATCTTATTGTTATTTCTAATGCCATTTTCTTCTTTGGTAGATACATTCTTAGAGCTTTTGGAGCCATATATTTTGAAAGATATGTTGGGATCCCTTCCACCTGCGGTAATTTCGCTTAAAGATGCTGAGCATAACTGCTTTGTTTTTATATTCATCTTATGTTTTGTGAATTATTTACCATATACCTGTTACTGCAATTGATGTGTTATTCATTTCTTCCAAAGATTATGCAAGCTTTGGTGGAGCATTATAGTGAGAAAGGTTGGTTGCAACGAGTTGAACAATGTGTTCTCCACATGGACATTTTGTCCCTGGATTTTAATCAGGTAATGATGTAATCTTAGTTGACGGTATTTATCACTTTAATGGCAATTAGTACTTCAATGGAAATTAGTGTACTGCTGGAAATGTTCACGGTATTCATATATAATTCTTCTGAGGAATCAGTATGACTATGAACCGTGTCACTCACGACTTCGCATTACATAAAATATCCAGCCACCTGCTTGATACAGATGAATATGCTGTTTTGGCTCCTATAATCCATCTCTCCGTTTTAAGATGCATTGTGATCCTTCACAAACATATTATATTTTGAGCTTGTTAATTGAGAATCGTATGCGTGGCTGCATTTCTGTTTTACCTGCCCGAGTCCCTAATAATTAATTCTCATTGACCACGTGGCTGATAGTATTCTTCACACTTGCATCATTTCCTTTTTCCATTGCTAGCTGTTAACAACTTGTAATTGGATTGTAGGTTGTACGCCTATGCAGGGAGCACAGGTTGCATGGTGCACTGATATATTTGTTTAACAAAGGTCTAGATGATTTTAGGGCACCTCTAGAGGAGCTCTTGGTTGTACTACGAAATAGCGAAAGAGAGAGTGCTGCTTCCCTTGGGTTAGTCACTTCGATTCGTGGTATTTACTATTTGTAATGCTTAAAGATCTGCTCAATAGTTGTCTTCGAAGTCTATTCTCCCTTTTAAAGATTAAAAGGATTTTCCTCATGAAATATTATCACAGAATTTTCCCCCCTGCTATGTCAAAGTAATCACATTGTAATCCATGCAACAGGTATAGGATGCTTGTTTATCTGAAGTACTGTTTTCAGGGTCTTGCCTTCCCTCCAGGTCTGTCTTCAAACTGCTGCTTTGGGCTTTCCATCCAGTTGTCTTTTCTGGGAATCATTTTCTGTTCGGTGAAATCAGACTATGTGTTTCAATAAATGAGGTTGGGGGGCAGGGGGCTTAATTTTACCGATGATGCTGAAGGAAAATATCATGGTGCTAATATTCATTTTAGTTATCTGTAACTAATTAGCTTCTCTGTTCTGCTACTTGAAACTATTTAGTCTTTACATTTCTTATCTAGCTATAGGTTTGGTGTATAAAAATTTAAGAATTGGCAAGCAATGATATTTTTGTTTTGCAGGACATGGAAACCTTTCTCCTACACGCCTGCCATCTCTTAGAAAAGAACTTGTGCAGTTTCTATTGGAGATTTCTAGTGCTCAAAATGCATGGACAGATAGAAACTTACCATCAAATGGAGCTTGTCCAAACCTGCTACATCTGTTAGAATTGGATACCGAAGCCACTCTAGATGTTTTGAGATTTGCATTTCCAGAGGAAGATGAAATAGGCCACTTTTCGGAGGGATCAATGAACTTGGAGTTAGCTGAAGTAAATGATTCAATGGATGAAAGTCAAATTTTGGTTCAGAAAGTAGTAGATGTTCTTGCTGATATTCTAGACGGAAGTTACTTCCAAACAGGCAGTTCTATCAACAGTGATGACATTAACTCTAGAGAAATCTGGCCTTCGAAGAAAGATGCGGGTCACATGTATGACTTCACAGCATACCATGTAGCCTGTGGAAGAGCCAATGTGTCAAATAAGATCCTAACTCAAATTTTGGAGTACTTTACATCAGAGATAAATATTTCACAAAGTTTGTCAGGGCAAACGACAGAAATAATTAGAAGAAGAGAGAAGCAACTACTTGCACTTGTAGAAGTGGTTCCCGAGACTCGCTGGGATACTCCGTACTTGTTACATTTGTGTGCAAAGGCTCAGTTTTATCAGGTAACCATATGCATTCAATACTTCTCATTTGTTTGATTGGGATAAAAGTGGAAGGGAATTGCGAGCCATTTACAAGTGACAATAAAGTGCCCATTCCTCATGGCTGCCTTGTCTTTCCCTTGCAACTAGGACAGGGAGAGGTAAAGAATTAAGATGACCGGATTATACTATATTAGAAAAGGTCGTCAATACAAAGTTAATAAAAAGAAATTTTGTCTTTCTTTCTCATAATTTTCTTGCCTGCTCTCCTGTATTCCTTGTGCAGTCCGAGGGGAAAGAAATATGTAGGCCCTGGTAATATCACCTAATGCAATTTATCAATCAGAGTGCTTATTTATTTAGGTTTGTGGCTGCATTCATGCCATCAAGCATCAGTATGTTGCTGCTTTGGATAACTATATGAAAGCTACGGATGAGCCCGTTCTCACCTTTTCCTTTATTCATATTATGCTGAAACAACTCAGTGAAGAAGAACGTGATGCTTTTGAATCAGCCGTTATTTCTCGAATTCCTGATCTTCTCAAATTAAGCAGGTGATGCTTTTATATTATGGTGCTTCTATAGTTATTTATGCATTTGTGGACATGAACAAGAATGGCTTAATATGCAATTATTCTTTCCTGATGCTTCTGTTGCTTTTTCTGAGATTTGCTGATGATTTTGTCAATTTTCTGAGTTTTGCAGAGAAGGAACTTACTTTCTGATTGTTGACCATTTATCTGGTCAAAGTCAATATATTTTGTCTGCGCTTCGCTCTCATCCAGAAAGCCTTTTCCTCTATCTGAAGACGGTTATTGAGGTTAACACAACTGGTAACCTGAACCTCTCTTCTTTAAAAAACGACAATAATTTATATTTTCCCAGTGCAAGAAGACCTAAGCAGCAGTCATCTAGTGTTGAAGCTTATCTACAAACAATATCCGGCTTCCCTAAACTTCTGCACAACAGTTCTGTTCAGATTACTGATGAAATGACAGAGCTATATCTTGAGGTGAATATTTCTAAAACAATTCATTCATAAGGCCAGTGTGCATATTTTTATTTATTAAATATATAACATCTTCAATGTTTCAGGATATTGCTTACCATAAAAATGTTTTGTTACATAGATTTTACATACCAAAAATGATATGGATCTCTGCCTCTGGGAAGGTTTCCTACAAACCTGATTGTGGTTTCCCTTAAAACTCTGGGTAACCTGTTGTGCAAAGCTTTTGTGAGCAAATGTTGAGGAAGTAGCCTATGTGGATATGGGATTAAGTGCTATGTGGATATGGGATTAAGTGTATTTATTCACCTGAATATGTTGTATTCTACTATAGGATTACGTGGAAATTGAATTCAGTATGTTTGATGCTGTGTGTTGCTGAAATCGTGTCAAGTGAGGAAGTTTTAAATTTTAAAAATACACCTGTATCTAGAATTGTGGCAATTATAATGTCTCCCTCAAGACGATCCTAATACAAGATGGCAGTATGACAGAAAACTGCTCATGTTTTATGATAAATCTTCGTCAAGATGATTTGAATGGAAAGAACATTCTTTTGGATCATTGGGTAACAGATGTGTTGGCTCTGGTGTGAGAACTGGGAAGTTAGAATATTGAACAAGTTCTACTCCTGTCAATGTGTAAATTAACCTTAGCTTCTGCTTCCTCGTTTTTCTTTGCATTCAGTAATCTAATCGCTCTTTTTTTTCTCTTTTCTTGTTTTTCGTGGAGATGTTCATTGTTTTTCTTTGACCTATGCTAAAAAAATCAGTATCTGTTTCAACCTCTAGGGATGAAACCATTTTTATATTGTTTTTAAATTCGTTTTCTGTGCCTGATACATCCAATCCTGTAGTTTGCTTCAATTCTAGTGCTTATCATGATTTGATATAGATCTCTCGGTTACTAATCATTTTTTTTTTTTTTTTTATTTTGGCTTTAGTAACTCATTTTTTTTTTTCCCCCAGTTGGTTACTTTATGATGATTACTAAACCTTGAACTGCATGTATTTTGTGATGGCATGGAAACTTAAAGTTCATTGTGTTTAATTTTTGCAGCTATTATGTCAGTATGAGCGCAAATCCGTACTGAAATTCTTGGAGACTTCTGAAAGCTATAGGGTCGAACACTGTTTACGTTTGTGCCAGGAATATCGAATTACAGACGCAGCTGCATTTTTATTAGAAAGAGTTGGAGATGTTGGAAGTGCTTTGTTGCTCGTTCTTTCTGATCTTAATGATAAAATGATTGTGCTTAATGCTGCTATTGAAGATGGACTTTCTGGTGCTAGTCTGGATCATCTTAATGCCGTTTTAAAGAGAAAAGAAGTCTGTTCAACTGCTATGTTATCCCTCAACTTCCCTTCCCTTGCAATTCAATTTCCTTCTCTAATTAATTTTAATGTTTGTAATTAATGTTTCAGGTCATTGAAATTCTTGATATTGTGCATGCTTGTATCAGTCTATGCCAACGGAACAGCCCCCGATTGGATCCGGATGAGTCCGAGTATCTCTGGTTTCAGTTGCTTGATTCGTAAGCCCATCTCATCTGATATATTTACTTCTTTTTTTCCTGGTTTCGTCCGTTTGTTAACTTTTATCCTGCTCGGAATAGTAGTGTGTAAAGGTGATCTTCTGCTCATTTCCTAATATCTGAATAAGTAGATGGCATTATATTTTCTGTCAAATCCTTGGTGTGTGCGTGCTCCCCCCCCCCCCCCCCCACAAAAAAAATTGAAGTACCATTTTAGTTACGGCCTATTACTTCTTCTAGTGTTATCTTTTCACTTCATTAGTCATTCATGCTTTGATGAAGGTCCTATCCTGCATGGCACGTCAACGACATCTTCTTACAAGAATCAGCTTGTGCTTGGTGTACGTACATGGTTTTATGGTCATTTGACCATGAAGGATCTTCAAGTGCTGACGTAGATTGTTCTATAATTTTGATTGCAAAGTAGGTTGTGGACAATAGTGCTTCTTTGACACAGTTTTGTAGTAACTTTGGTTGCATATGAGCTGAAAGTGCTCATTATGTGGAATAGATATCTTACACACCTTGTTGTCCTTTTCTTTTCTTTCGGTTGCTAAACCCTATAATACTGACTTCTTATCCACAATCTAGAATTGGAAAATATGCCGTATGTTTGCAAAAGGCAATTGTTAATTGTCTTGATTCAGCTCTCTGCTTGTACAAAGAATTTTTTCACATCTACTTATTTACATTTATTTTTCCCGTCACTCATCTTTTGTGGTTGAACCACTTCTATTCAACGTTTTAATTCCGTTACAGGTTTTGCAAGCCTCTGATGGATTCAGATGGTGGTAGTACAAATTCTAAAAGCAAAGCACCGAGGGAAACTCTTGATGGATCTTTCGGTCATCAGGGAGATGAAGAAGGGAGCAAAATTAAATGGAAGTTCTCCAAGTCTCATAAAGGTGCTCGCATCATGACGAAACTGATTTCCATGTTTATTAAAGAGATTGTTGAGGGCATGATCGGATATGTTCAGCTCCCAAGGATAATGTCAAAACTTCTTTCTGATAATGGAAACCAAGAATTTGGCGATTTCAAACTTACAATATTAGGGATGCTTGGGACATATGATTTTGAGAGAAGAATTTTGGTACGGCTTGTGTATTTCCTTTTCATATCATCCTTATGATTTGTTACTTTTATTTATGCAATACTGTGTAAATTTTTAGCCTCCCTTTGGTAAAATTTATAAATTATTTATGAAGGGTTAAACTTCATTTTCGACCGTACATTCCAATTGTACCCACAAGGATTGTACACTTATCCACCACTCATTTTATCTAGTTATAAATTAAACCAGTTAAAAACTCTTCCCAAATAGAGGCTTAGAAAACCAACCAGGAAGTGTGTAAACCTTTATTCACAATTTTAAGTATAGGTTTTCATATAGTTTTATTTCCGAACTTGGGAGTACTACAGTTGGAAGTCCCTATGCTTGACCCCTTGAGCAGTGTTTTATTGAGAAAATATAATAATTAAAAGATACAACCATCAAATTTTCTCCCCTTTGGTTTGGGTGAAAGTAGTTCAAGTTGAAAGAAGAAGAAAAATATGGTCAGATTTTTGCATGTACTATGTATTTCTGTGTATAAATTATTATTTCTTTTAGCATAACGTGACTAGAAGAACATCAGGATAAGTTAATAGTATAGTTTGTATTGTTTTTTGGCCTTTTATCTGGGTCTAAATTATGTAGCGATGACTTACCCCGCACATGAATATTATTTAACTGTTCTTTCTGATGTATCAGGACACTGCCAAAAGTTTAATCGAAGATGATACATACTATACGCTGAGTTTACTCAGAAAGGGAGCTTCTCATGGTTATTCCCCCTGGAGCACAGTTTGCTGCATATGTAATGGCCTACTCGCCAAAAGCCCGGATGATTCTGGAATTCAAATTTTCAGTTGTGGTCATGCAATACATCTCCACTGTGAACTTCCGGAGAACGGGGCATCAGTTAGGGGCTCGTCTACTGGATGTCCCATCTGCATGCCTAGGAAGAAAGCTCAAAAATCAAGCAGCATATCATTGTTTGCACAGAATGGACTAGTTAGCAAGTCATCATCAAGGAGCCAGCAACCACATGGGACATTAGCTTCGCATCCGCACGATTACGATTCTTTTGAGAACTCATACGGTTCTCAGCCAGTGTCGAGGGTTTGTCATCAACTGATTACTTTCTTAATGTTGCTTCTTTTTTAGCATTCTCTAATTATTCGCCACTTTTTGAACATGGTCGCAACAGTTTGAGTTATTGAATAATCTTCAGAAAGACCACAAGTCGACACAGATGGAGAACAGGCCTCCATTGAGGCTTGCACCACCCGCAATTTACCATGAAAAGATTATAAAGAAAAGAAGTGATGATTTAGAAGGAGAAAGCAGCAGCAGCAGCAGCAGAGGTCTTTCCAAAACAGAAAAGCCAACTAGGAGCAGGCAGCTCAAGGATGTAAAAGTGAAAGGATCCTTGGTTCGATTCCCTTTGAAATCGAATATATTTGGTGAGTTTTTCTTGTATCATCACTGAGATTAACAAAATGTTGATTAATCGAACTACATGATCATTTGAATTATTTTATTTATATTTGGAGGTAAGGAGAAGACGAGTAAGAGGTGATACACAGCAATGCGGCGACTAATTGATGATCTTTGTTGAGATGACATTTTGTAGAAATGAATAAAGAATAATTTTGAAAATTTTTTTTTCTCCTTTTAATTTCCTTGGTATGTATTAAATGCCATTAGTTAGTTTTCTGCCATGTACATAAGTTGCCTTGTATCTATTTGAGAGTATAGTGTTGGAATGTATTTGATAATTTGAAGTTAAGGCTTGGTATAGAAATCATATGAATTCAGTGAAATTTTCTGATGAAGATTTTACCCTTTTTGTGTTTAATAATTAATTTGGAGTTGTTTGTATCCTTTACCTTTGAAAGTGAAACGTTTTAGACTGTGTGTTTGGTCCTCAATTGGTCATTTTGTTTTGTGGAAGACCTAGATGCCCTTAATTTCAGTAAGGGAAAATTGCAATCAGGTCCCTGACCTTTGGAAAAAGTACAAACAGGTCGAATACCTTTATTTAATAATATAATACATAAATAAGCGTACTAAATATGTCATTTGGTTGAGTCAATTTAATTATTTAGAAGGGAAAAGCCTTAATTATCGTGCTTTAAGTACGTAATTGTTCTGGGATGTGAAAACCTCGAATGAAGATGTGAAAACGCTCCTGTTTGTTTTCCATTTTTTTAGTAAAAATGTATTTTTAAATAGTTAATTGATGAACAATGTGTAATATTATTTTATTGAATAATGTGGTTGAAAAGAAGAAAGAGAAAAATATATTTTAAGAAAAATGGTTATCAAACAAGGATTAAATAATAAAATGTCTATATAACATCCAATATTTTTGTATTTTCAATTTACATGATATAAAAAAAATTTACTAGTGTGTTCTTTATTTATTTTTATTGAACAATAATAAAACGATAAATTAATATATGAAAACTACAATTGGAGCTCTAAGTTTTGCATTTAATGAACAAATAACTCAATTAAATAAAAATATTTGTGGCTGAAGTTCGTGACACAAGTTTAAGAGATAGCTAGGGTAGTAAGATCTTTGTTCAATGGAGTATTTAATTGAAAAGAAAATTCTCTAATTAATATACATTGCCACATGTAACCCGCGTAGACCAACTTTCATGTAGAAAACAATTTCGTCAATAAAATTTTAATTCAAAACACACACAAAAAAATGAATTCATTAGTGTCTTTTAATTTTATACGACAGAGAAAAAAATAATCGGTATAACCATTTGAACCTTTTGCAAATGTGCAGGACCCAAATTGCTATTTCCCTTGATTAAAATTAAGGATGTATTGGTCTTCTCACAAAAGGATCTATTGTGTTCCTAAACACATAGATAGGGACCTTTTGCTGAGAAACGAACGTCAGGGACCACTTTCACACTGACAGAAAAAGGTTAGGTACTACTTTCTCTAAATTCCTAACACAAATCTAATCGGTGAAAGATAAAGGAAAAAGGGCCCAACCGTGTTCCAACCGATGACCTCTTGAATTGCAATCAAATGCTCTACTACCGAGCTATGGACCCTTCAATTTTACTACCTCCTTGAAAAAGAAGAATATATTTTATAATAAACAGAATCATCTGTCATCGAAAAATCGATCATTATCCACATAGCACACACTACATGCTAGCAAATTTCTAGAGTTCATAGGAAAATGACCTTTTATTTCTACTTCAGTACACCAAAAAAACTGTGTTGAGCAAATCACGATTATATATTCAGGGTTAATTACACAAACGGTCACTGAACTTAACTAAAAATTTCAAAACAGTCACCGAAATTACAAACTTGCGGAAACGGTTACTGAAGTTTTAGCATGATTTCACTAATGGTCACTCTGTTAAGTTTAGGGCCGTTATAATTTTAGTTCAAACTTAAAGGTCCAAAACAAGTGAACACAAAACCTTGAGGACCTCTCAAATTGGATATATTTTTAAAAACAATCTTAAAAAAAGAAAAGAAAATCTTAGGCCCTATTCTCTTTACCGTTTTCGGGTCGTTTTCTGCTTTCGATTTTTCAAAACAGTGAAAACGCGTTCTCTTTTCCGTTTTCGAAAACGAATTTTCGAAAACGAAAAAAAATTTGTGAAGAAAACACAAAACGACTTTTTTGTCGTTTTGGGCGTTTTCAGTGTAAAACTTGACAAAATTGAAAACGCGGGAAACACCTCTTTTTTTTTTTTTTTTTTGAGGAGGTGGTGTCGTGATTCTCAAAATTTCAAAAAAAATTAAAAATTAAATTTTTTTTTTTTTGAGGAGATAGTGTGGTGATTCTCAAAATTTCAAAATTTTTTTTTTTTTTTTTGGTGTTTCGAGGTGGTGTTGTGGTGATTCTCAAAATTTAAAAAAAAAAAATTTTTGTTTTTTGTTATGAGAAACTAATAAAAAGAACGCATTTTCAACAATTTCAAAACAAACACTCAAAACACAAAACTCAAAATGAATTCAAAACTCAAAACACAAAACTGAAACACAAAGAGAACACTCCCTTAGCAATTTAACGTGAATCGTCGTCTACTGCACCGTACGGAGCCGGTGGTTTCAAAGCCAAATTCGACCACCATACCGTTGGATAAACCACCGAATTATCACACCACCACCACCTCCTCATCCCACTCTACAATCCTATACCAACAAACAGCCCCAACAGATCAAAAATCAAATGAATCTCAGGCTCAAAAATCCATCCCCAAGCACGGTTTCACCTCCAACTCCGACCAACCCATCATCACCCATCACCCATGCCAAAACTCCACCACAGGCTGTTAATACTCACCGAGACAAACAAGTACATGGTCCCATATCATCACGAAACAACTTAAATAGAATCGAACCGTTGCCAGTACGAAGGCAGCGAACGGAGAACTGTCTTCCCAAATTTTCGGCACTGGCGTCAACAACTACGGTCGCACACCACCACCATTACAATCTATTCATCATGAAGAACAAGATCCACATATGGGTCCCCACCAATTTCTCTTGAATCAGCCAATTTCTCTTGAATCAGCCAATTGGTCTTCATACACCGCAAGCTGCTGGCTCGGTTTCTTCAAATCAAGGGCAGGTTTTGAGCAAATTAACACCACCATTGGATCCAGCGGGCCCAAAAACATTAGGATGCACCTCCAATTTGACGAGGAAATCATTGGAAATGACCCCCTAAGCCATATGTATTTTCAAAGTGACCTTTGACCGGTTAAAAAAAAACGAAAATTGAATTTAAAAGTCAAAATTTCAAAATACCCTCATGGTCACTTTCCCCATTTGCGTACAGTTGACTAAAACTAAGGAAAAGTGTAGTGGTTGAGCTGAATTTTCGAATCAGAACTTGTAAATTTCAACAACACAAGCATAATTCAATTGAAATTCTCAATACCAAATACTTCAATTGAAAGTTGCAATGCAAATAGAAGAACAATAATAGAGAAAAAACAGAAATGAGAAGAGAGAGAGAGAGAGTTCAGGGACGGGATTTTCCAATTGATTCTTCACACCCTTTCCCTCCTTCACCTCTCGTTATAACAGAATGCAATTGGGTTTTTTGGAAACACGCTTTACAAAACGCACTTTAACTAATTACAATTAAATCTTAACATGCAGAATTTAGGGTTCAGCTAGCCGTTGGAGTGTCTTCTTCATTCCTCTTCCTTGCTTTGGCGTTTCTCTACCACTCTTTCCCAGTTCAGCTGATTTTCCCCCTTTGTGCCTCCATCATGACATCCCTCCCCCTTCAAAAAACCTTATCCCCAAGGTTGAAAAGCTGGTAGTGTTAATCCATATGGAGCCTTCCCAGGTTGCCTGTAGTGGCTGTTTGTCCTCGGAAAGTAGCAGAGCTGACAAGGAGTTTCAAAAGACCTTGCTGCTCTGTTTTTGTCTGCATAAAGTTTTATCTTAGCTATGGCCTGAGATAAGTTCTCCTTCAATTGTTGGTTCAATTTGTATTTTCGCATCTCCAAAACTAGCCTCTTTATTTCTATTTTCTTGACAAAAGGATGTATATAAGGTCTGGTTTTGAATGGCTGTACTCCATTTGTTACTGGAATATTTTGTTCATGTGAAATGGGAGGAGGTAACCCATTCAGCTCCTCAAAGACTTTAGGAAAAAATTCAATCATCTCCGTGATCTTGCCAGGAATCTCACGTTTGTTATTCTCAATGAGGAAACACAGTTGCCCTACAGCTCCATAGGCTTCCTTGTCAAACCTCATCTCTATTTCCTCTATCTCCTTCATCTTAACTGGATTATCCTCTATCTCTTTTGTTTCCTTCATCTTAACTGAATTCTCTGGTATTTCATTTCCAAATTCTACCTCCTTAATCTGAGCCACTATACCATTAGGTTGCTTCTTGAATTCACCTTTCTTTCCATTACCAATCATCATCTGGAACTCTTCATTGATTGCTTCATTCTGGAGTTTAATTTCTGTGCCCTCATGATGGAAGGTTATGCTTCCTTTAACAAAATCAAACAACGCAGGGCTAAATTGCCTTAGCCAATCCACTCCAAGTATCATATCGCTTTCCCCCAATTTAAGCACCCTCTGCTGAAACTGAAATTCCAAGTCCTGCATCCTCCAGACTAATGGATTACACATCGCTTTACTGACCAGATTTCCTCCCCCTGCAACAGTCACCAAAATGGGTTTTGCTTGCAACATCTTACAGTTGATCAATTGAGCCAATTGTTCATCTATAAAACTGTGAGTACTCCCACTATCAATTAATATAGATACCTTCCTTCCTTTAATCATCCTGGTGAGTCTAATTGTCTCTTCCACAGGGCTGCCTACCAATGCATAGATGGATATCTGCATCACTTCATCCCTCACCTCTTGGTTCATCTGTTCTCCCACCCCATCTTGTGGTTCCTCCAACTCCCCGTCACCTTCATCCTCTACTAGTATTAAATTGAGCATTCTATTCTTACATACATGCCCCTTAGCATACTTTTCATCACATTTATAACACAACCCCAGTTCTCTTTTGGGTTGGAAGTCTGTAGGAGTGATAGCTTTGAATTTAAGAGGGTTGTTGGATTCTGAATAGGTGATAGGTTTAGATGTGGTTTTATTTGGCTGGGGACTAGAATTTGGATTGGTCCACTTAGAGTAGGGGAGTGGTTTGAAGGTTTTGGGTCCTTTGTTTAAGGTTAATATGGTATTCTCTTGTAAGAGGGCGATCTCCAACGCTTTGGCAAGAGTGGAGGGTTGAATCATTTACACCATGGATTTGATTTCGTCTTTCAGACCACTGGTGAAAATCGAGATGTAATATGACTCGAGTAAGTGGGGGCAAAGATATCATTACCTGGGATTTCAGCTCTTCAAATTGTTCCTGGTACTCCATAACAGATCCTTTCTGCTTCAATTTACTGAAGGTTTCTACTACTTCTTCAGCAGTATTCTCAGAAAATCTCCTGCAAATCTCCTTCGCAAATGCATCCCAATTAGTAGCTGGTTGGCTGGAGATGAAACCATGAAACCAAATGTCAGCCTCCGCCTTTAGATACATCTCTGCGATTCCCACTTTCAACTCATCCTCCACCTAATGAATCTGAAAGTACTTGTTCGCCTTCCTCAGCCATTCTCTTCTTGGCCCTTCTCCACTGAGATAAGGGAAATCTGTCTTTGGTAATTTGGTAGACATTTTATTTTACTAGAATAACCAAAGTGGACTTCCTTTCCCTTAATGTTGTCACCACTGGTTAGGGATGAGGACTCAATTCCTTCTCCTTGTAATTAGCCCCATCACCAGTCAGCTTAGCTAGCATCAACACCATCGATTCCTAAGTAGCCTTCATTTCACCCATCATTATTCATTGTTTTTGAAAGCCACTTTCAAATCTGCTATCTCCTTAGCTAGTCTCTTAAGTTGTTCTTCGTTCGACTTACTCCGAGTGTCCACCATTCCCAGATTCGTTGCTGCTCTGATACCAATTTGTAATGGTTGAGCTGAATTTCCCAACCATAACTCGTAAATTCCAACAACACAAGCTGAATTCAATTGAAATTCTCAATACCCAATACTTCAATTGAAAGTTGCAATGCAAATACAAGAACAATAACAGAGAAAAAAACAGAAAAATAGAAATGAGAAGAGAGAGAGAGAGTTCAGGGATGGGATTTTCCAATTGATTCTTCACACCCTTTCCCTCCTTCACCTCTCATTATAATAGAATGCAATTGGGTTGTTTGGAAACATTTCTTTACAAAACGCACTTTAACCTATTACAATTAAATCTTAACATAAAACGACGCCGTGCAGAATTTAGAGTTCAGCTAGCCGTTGGAGTGTCTTCTTCATTCCTCTTCTTTGCTTTGGTGTTTCTCTGCCACTCTTTCCCAGTTCAGCTGATTTCCCCCTTTGTGCCTCCATCATGACAAAAAGCTACCGTCAGTTTCCAGTCGGTTAGATAGGTTTTCAGTTCATTGCCGGTGATCTTCTTCTTGTTAAGGTAAGCTTCGAGTTGTTAATTAACTAGATTAATATTTAGATTTTTATATTGTGTGTGAATGTTGAATTTGTGGAGGTCTTTGGAATGTATTATTGGTTATGTAGGTGTAGAAGTATGAATATAGGGTCATAGGTGGATTTTGAGATTTGTAAGAAAAAACTGCTGGCTGCTTTCTGGCAAATCCCGCTGTTAACAGGGAGTCCGTCACCATCGCTGACTTTTGTTCGATTTTCTGGCTAAGAAAGGAGCATCTTTAGAACGAATACTTGGTAAGATCATTGTGCACATTACGACAAACTAAAACATAATCAACCATGATTTTTTTATTTCACGATACAATAGTTGGTCTGTGAATGATAACAGTCTTCTGGCATGCGTGTGATCCAATTGAAAATGTGTATTTTGATGGCTGTAAATTCTCCAGTGATATAAAATAAGCATGGAAACTTCAGTGAATTGAAATGTTGTGTGTTTTCTCACATCAATTTGTAATATTATCTTCTATTGTTTCAGACAATGGAGTCCGTCCATGTGTTAGTCACATGCGATGCAAACACGTTTGGCAATTGGCATTATGGTGCAAATGAAGAGCAGTTACCAGTAGTTTCGATTTGGATGAGACGTAGAAAATAATTTTAGAGTTCCCACTTTGATTGAACGGGGATAAACTTTACGCATCTATGACAATCATAGCCTTTTAATATTTCATTTAATTAGTAATGTAAACTTTGAAGTTGCAGCGTTGATAAACATCGTTGATTCCGGTGATATTTGACTCCATCTCTATGAAGTGAGAACCTCTTTGATTTACCATAGACATCGATGAGAGTATTGTATGTGATTGTGTTAGGCTTGATTCCGTAAACTGCCATGTCATAAACCTGTAGGCAAGACTTTATGAGGATTGTGTATGTGGAGACACCAGGTTGACAATCATGACTGTTCTTCATTTGTTCAAGAGTAGAAAATGCTTTGTAAAAAGACCACTTCGATTGCAGGCAGACAAATGAGCAGTGTATGCTTCATGTTTCACACTTTAATTGTCAACTTCATTTTAGCGAAACTGTTGAGTGAGTATCAAAATTTATAATTTGAATAAAAGGTGAATTTGGACGAAAATTACACGTAATGTATGCAGGTATACGGATATCACAATCATGCTCAATGTTGCATCTTCAACACCTGGTTTCATTACAAATAGGAACGCTATGGGAATCGTATGAGTTACATCGGATCACATACTTGTCATCGACTCATCGCCTACATGAACAATACGTATACTTAAAGTGACATTATAGAATTTGTTCAAAGTAACCTAAAAATGCATATTCCATTGGTGCAATAAAGAAGATAGGAACACGGGCAAGGAACTAAAACATGCTATGCCTTCGACTTATGACACTGCTATTACACGTTTGGGACATTACATTTTGATATTCCGCGACGAGTATATTGTGCTATATGTCGGATTTCATAGTAGACATATACATTATATTTGATAATGACATCCAGAATGTAAAGAATGCAGTATTGATGTTATACTAGATAAGCATCATACTTTTTGTCCCAAAAATGTTTGGTGCGCAATATGTATTTAATTATAAAGCAAACGGGTGTTTCAGTTTTCACACAAAAGTAAACATCCCATTGTTTCGCAAAAACACACAAAAAAAAGTTGGGAAATTTTGCTGCCCAACCATTAAGCTGGCACATTGTTAGGCACACTAATCAACAAAAGAAAATGAGCTGACTACAGCACATTTCAATATTCCTAGCAGAGCTCAACTTTGTAGCCCTTGTAACGCTAAGCGGCACAAGGTCGCAATCTACCAATCTGTCTCGTACCCTTCTATTAACTTTGCACGAGCATACTTGTATAATTGCACCGCCAACTGTGATCGCGAACCTTTACACTCAAACTTCTTAGATATATTCTCTATCTGCTAATGGATGATAAATTCGGCATACTTTATATGTTACATAAAGTCCACTGTCGTGCCTGCAAATATAGATAAGATGGCTAATGTGTTATTCAACTGAATGAAAAGAAGGACGAAAGGTCTTATTTTTCTCCTTTGGGGATTTTCATTTTGCAGGAAGGATGAAAGGATTTCGATTTTTTGCAGAAATATGATATGGTTTTTGGTAGGGCCGGGATTTCGGGTAAGATATTATGGCCATAATTGACGGAAATCTAGAAGGAATATTGACTTTCCAAATCAATCCATATATTGTAAAGTATACCTTTTTAGTTTCATTTTAAAGTAATTCATTTTTTACATTTCCGTTTCCTTTTCACTAATTATACTGTAATTTTAATAGTATTTCTGAAATTTGGAAAAAATATATATTTCCATATATAATGTGATTCCACCATATTCTCCGACCGAAACTTCTTCTTTTGTACACTGCTTTCTGGCTTTGAAAACTTGATATATACACCCTAAACCGTCGAACCTGCAATCTCACTATTCCAACCCCAGAAGTTGATCTTCCACTCAAAACCCTTATTTTTCACCCCTTATTCTGAATATGAAATCACCCATTTCCCGATTGTCCTTGGGTACACACAAGAAGAAGACGGCTGCAGGTTACTCGCCGTTTGAATATGGGAACTGAAAAGGTTCAAGGCCAAGATGCTGTGAATACTCTAGCCATTTTTTTTTTTTTTGGGATAATGTTTTTTGGATGACAATAGGTTTGGTTATGTTTTAGATTGGATGCTTTTGAATGTCAATCATTTGTATGGGATGTGTTCATTTTGGATCATCGTCAATGTCAGTATCACCATCCTCTCAATAAGTTATTTTTGCTCTAATTGGAATTGTTCCTTTTGTAACTATAGATTTTTCTTTTGCTTGTTTACACACTTTAGGAATTGGGCCCATGAAAGTCGGCCCACTTTCGTTTTCGTTTTTTATCTTTTTATTTTGGCCCATGACTGCTAAGTAACAGCCGGCCACTTTTGTTTTTTTTTTTATTTTTATTTTTGCCCATCGATTCTTAAGCGGGCTGACTGTTATGGTCGGCCCACTTCCTTTTTTTTTTGTTTACATATATTTAAGAATTTAATTTTATATAATTTTAATTATTAGTTTTTAATAAATAATAATTTATTTAGTTGTCAAATTTAAATAAAAATTTTAATTTTAATTTTAATATTTATTTTTATTTCCTCATTTTTTATAAATAATAATTTTTCGTTCATCGAGTTTAATTAATTTTTGTAATTGTAATTTTTAATAATTCTTTTAATTTTAATTTTAAATTTAAATTTCATATTTATTTTTATTAATAGTTTTTGATAAATAATTTTTTTTCGTTCATCAAATTTAATTAATTTTTGTAATTTTAATTTTTAATAATTCTTTTAATTTTAAATTTAAATTTCATATTTATTTTTATCAATATTTTTTGATAAATAATATTCTTTTTGTTCATCGAATTTAATTAATTTTGTAATTGTAATTTTTAATAATTCTTTTAATTTTAAATTTAAATTTCATATTTATTTTTATTAATAGTTTTTGATAAATAATTTTCTTTTTGTTCGTCGAATTTAATTAATTTTTGTAATTGTAATTTTTAATAATTCTTTTAATTTTAATTTTAAATTTCATATTTATTTTTATTAATAGTTTTTGATAAATAATATTCTTTTTATTTTTATTAATAGTTTTTGATAAATAATATTTTTTTCGTTCATCGAAATTAACTAATTTTTGTAATTATAATTTTTAATAATTCTTTAAATTTTAAATTTAAATTTCATATTTATTTTTATTAATAGTTTTTGATAAATAATATTCTTTTCGTTCATCGAATTTAACTAATTTTTGTAATTGTAATTTTTAATAATTCTTTTAATTTTAATTTTAAATTTAAATTTCATATTTATTTTTATTAATAGTTTTCGATAAATAATATTCTTTTCGTTCATCGAATTTAACTAATTTTTGTAATTGTAATTTTTAATAATTCTTTTAATTTTAATTTTAAATTTAAATTTCATATTTATTTTTATTAATAGTTTTTGATAAATAATATTCTTTTCGTTCATCGAATTTAACTAATTTTTGTAATTGTAATTTATAATAATTCTTTTAATTTTAAATTTAAATTTCATATTTATTTTTATTAATAGTTTTCGATAAATAATATTCTTTTCAGTCATTGAATTTAATTAATTTTTTAATTGTAATTTTTAATAATTCTTTTAATTTTAAATTGAAATTTCACATTTATTTTTATTAATAGTTTTTGATAAATAATATTCTTTTCGTTCATCGAGTTTAATTAGTTTTTGTAATTGTAATTTTAAATAATTGTTGAAAATTTAATTTTAAATTTAACATTTATATTTATTAATAGTTTTTGTTTGATAATATTCTTTTTGTTCATCGAATTTAAAAATTTTATGAATTAAATTGATAAAAAAAATTGATAAAAGGGAAAAATTGACATTATTGATAATGTGATAAAAAATTCACGTTATTGATGATTTTAATTATTATTAATCTACGTTTTGCGTATTGTAGTTACAATTTCGTTCGTTAAATTTTCTGTTGTTATGCTTTATTCTATTATCTCTTGTACAATATTCTAACATTTTGAATTTTTACAAGATGGAGTATCATCTTGACACAGAGTGGAGACAAATGTCAGGCAAAGTTACGTGGAATAGTAGCTTTGATAGTTTTACTGCTTTGTTAGAGCTTCTTGATGATCAGCATGCTGATATGTTGCGCCAGTCCTTCTTGTGTCCCTTGTACCCGTTAAGAGATCTGCAGTATTCAGGTCAGATTATTGATGCACTTCTATGTCGATTGCTGAGTCCAGTCGACGACGATCCCCTCCACTTCGCAGTCGGGGGCAAAGTCACCAGTTTTTCAATGTTCGAGTTTGTTCTGATCACTGAATTAAAGATTATGGGCGATGAAACAGTTGGTGATGAGACTCAGAGAAGAAATAGACTACATGACGCTTACTTCGAGGAACAGGGTCTTACACAGTTGTTCGACGCAATCAGGAGGTATGATCTAATGTTAGACAGACTGAAGTTAGGTCTGGTCTACCTCCTTAAGAGTGTGGTGCGGTGTCACCACAAGAAGACTTCGATCGAACTCTTCTATCTGGAGATCGTTGATGACCTCAATTGTATCAACGACTATCCGTGGGACCGGAGATGTTTCGAAAACACCGTACACGTCTTCACCAGATCGCACTCAAAGCCAAAGGAAGCCGTGTGTAAGTACGACACCTATGAATTGTCCCTGACAGTGCAGCTAAATGGTTAACATAATCAATGTTAAAAAATTTTCCTATTGAATTTGTATATAATAATTGTATGTGTTACAGATTTGGGCGTATGAGACCATCCCCCTATTAGGTACCCACATTGCGAGGCGAGGCGAGGCGAGGAGAGACACGCTGCCTTCGGATGTACCATTGGAGAGCATCTCGATCGGAGGGATGTCCCACTGGAAAATAATTATCGATTATCCTCGACGACCCTTAGGTGAGTATTATGCATTTGTAATTTATATTGTACGTGATTTCAAATCTGATTAAATGATCGTTAACTAGTTCAAATGTCAATATGCTAGCTTCAAGTCATAACTGAGTTGAAGCAATCGATGGAGGAAGAGACTCAGTGTCTTGTGTGTGAATTAGTCGTTCCGCACACCCAAGATGACTAGATGTCCGACTCGATCCACGATCGAGATTGGGTGAGCGAGTTGAATATAATTTATTGATTACCATTTTGTATGAGTTAGAAATTATGGATTAAGTTAATAATAATTAGTGTTGTTGCTTGTGTAAGAGCGTGGTCTAGTTGATCGACCATCTCATCCGTCGAGGGCATCACCTCCGCCGACAAAATCACCTCCGCTGTCGAGGGCATCTCCTCCACCACTCTGGGCATCACGTCCACCTCCCCCGTGGATCTCCCACACATAGTCAGAGGTATTATTTTGATGATCTGTATGCCCATCTAAGCGGATTTATAGTGGAGCAGGTCGGCGGGCTGCATCAAGAGATGATAGAGAGAGTTGACGATCTGGAACGACAGTTGGTAGGAAGGGTCGAAAATTTGTCGAATGATGTTAGAGTGCTACGTGGTCATTGTGCGGACCTTGAGGATGAGATTGCAGCACTTCGAGGTGATATAGTTGACAGGCGATGGGTTGACGGAGACGGTGATCGGGGGGTGATCATGAGGGTGATAGAGATGGGGGTCATCGGCAGTCGTACATGCATGATGATGATGCATGGGAATCTATTTTATCCATGGAGCGCGATGGACGGGAGCGGTGGCAGATGAGGGAGGCCCTTCGGGGACGGAGAGGTTTGCTCTGTCAAGGACGGAGACAGTGGCCCCATCGGGGATGGAGATGGTGGTAGATTAGGAGGTGGCCCCATCGGGGACGGAGACGATGGCAGTAGAGGGGATGGAGAGCCCCGGGTAGAGGAGGTGGCAGTGGAGGGGATGGCAAAAAAGCGTGCTGTTGACATACCGGAGATGGTAGTCGGCAAGAGGTCAAGAGTGCCGTCATAGTACGTCGTCTCTCCCTTCATAGCTGAGATGAAAAGAAGGTTCATCGACGAGACATACCCCAATTTGTTCTGGGAAGTCGACCATGCCAAGTGAAAAGCATTCGAGGCTGAGTGGCGAAGAATGTTGCCCGGGTAAGTATTGTATGATTTAGTAGACTACCAGAATTCGTATATGTTTCGTTTAACATTTTCTCTATTTTATTTGTAGAGCCACGCACATGATAGCCGGAAGGAAGATATCGAACACATATAAGTGGTTCCATGATATTACCACACAGGGGGTTTGGCTCACCGACGATATAAGTGAAGTGTTATTGTTACTTTTGTATACATTATGTTTAAGTTAAATGAAATAACTATTTATTTCTTTTTTCCTTGTTGTAGCACATTGACATGGCCATGAACTTGTTGCGGGATCAAGTTGAGAGATATCCACAATCATTCCACAAGGCTGGTCGAATAATACTGAACACCGAGTTCTTCCGTCCCGTTACCATTGAGTATCAGTCGCTTCAGCTTCTGGGTAACGAGTACGTGCTGCCCGAGTATATGATCGAGTGGGTCATCGGGCTGTTACCGAGCGTTAGGGAAAAGCCATGGAAGGGTTGTGCGCATTTGTACATTCTGGTGATCGTGAATCAGCACTGCATTGCAATGGAGATCGTATTTTTTAATTCAACAATATATGTGTACGACCCCGATCATTCATGTCTGACACAGGGGGAGATCCGGTGATTGTGATCGTTCCTCTAATGGCTAGACATGTGGGCTTGACTGTGGAGGATAGACTAGATATCATACGGGACACGACGACGAGAGAGTCTATATCGTAAGTCTTTCTAATCTTTTTCTTAAATTTAGTAATCAGTTCGTATATTTGTTCATTTGCAAGGGCGACTGTGAGATTTTTGCAATCAAGTACATAAAACTTTTGAGTATATCACATAAGGTTGATGAAATCAATCAGTCATGGATATAGAATTGGCAAAATAAGTTAGCGTCCGATTTATACGAATTTAATTGTGATCCATCAATTATTTGTAAATATTTTTCGTAATTATTTGTAATTATTTGTAACTATTTTTCGTAATTGTTTGTAATTATTCATATAAATACTGTTTATTTCACTGTAAATACTATTTACGTCAATGTAAATACGAGCTAAAATCTGAATATTATTTATGCCAATGTAAATACTGTTTATTACAATTGACAACAATACACAATGCTCTAACTGTCATTTAGGAAAACCTAACTTGTAAAAAATTGGCGAGTATGCCCTATTAATTTGCACCTGCTACACCTACATGGTCGGAAAAATTCTCCAGTAGATGATATTCTAGACGTGCTTGGACATCCAGGACTACGCGGTTCAATGAGAGGTGGCGACACTGTATTGAACGGACGAATGTAATTGGGAACTTCCCATTTGATTTCATTTGATAGAGGAAATATGGTTTCAGTATACGCAACTCTCCAGTTTTCAGAAGTGTAATAAGGAGAGTACAATGTTCTTGCTGCAAATCCTCGATACATAGTCACCGCAACTGCATGTTCACATGAAAAACTCTCTAACTAAAATTGTTTACAAGTGCATGTTCCATCAGTCAAATCTACCATGTATGCCTTGTTACGTGGACATTCCACAGAGAAGCGCGACTTGTCTAGTGGTTCAACATTTAACTTTTTCGCAACCTTTGCAGCATTGAAGAGCTTTTTCTCTTGCGCTGGGGCTAGCACATTCGTGCAATTATGTGATTTCGCACGTCGATCGTGAAACCACTGCTGCAACTTCGTACGGATATTCTCAATCAGTACGAGAATGGGTAACTCTCAATTCCTCTTGAATAATGCATTGAGAGACTCCGCGTTGTTTGACGTCATCATGTTGTATCGACGCCCTAGAAAATATGAGCGCACCCAATGTTTAATTCCCATTTTTGTTAGATAGTCCCATGTCGGGAATGATTTGCTTCCTATTTCAACAATGTACCTATTACACTCTTTAATACTGTAAGCTTCGATCGCTCTTCTGAACAGTAAAACGATGCCTTTGTCCCTAATCCTGATCTTCAAGTTGCCTTGTATATGGTACATGCAATACCCATGACGTGCTTTGAGAAAAACTTCAGCAATACCCTTTATTATAGACTGTCCCCGATCGGTTATAAATGCAAGGTCCTCAACTTCCCTGAGCTTTGTGAAGAAGCAAAAAAGATAGCAAAAAAAACCCATTAAACCCGATACCCGTGGGGCCTCGCCCAGAGCGGAACGGGTAATACCCACTTAATTGGGTAATGGGTCGGGTATGGTGTGGGAGACTTAGACCCGACTCGGGTATGGGGCGGGGATAGGTAACAATGCACCCGCCACATTTAATCTTTAAAACTAAGAGAAAAGGCTAAGCTGTGAAGTGCCAAACTGCAAATTGCCTAGCCCAACAACATTTATACCTAGACTCCACTTTTCCAGACATTAAATAAAACCTACAGCCCACGTTACCCATTATTTAGTGATTCATATTTCAAAGTTACTTTCTAGAAGTTAGAATTAGGATTACTGTGTTACTGTGTCTTCTTTACGCACTCACGTCTCATAGTCTCAATCTCTCTATCCGTCTCTCACTTCCACTCAAATTTTAAGCCTAAGGACCCAAGTAATTTGACAATCTCTCAAACCCTTCATCTTCTCCAATCTCCATGCTATCTTCTCTATGTTAGAATGTTGGTATAATAAATTTTTTGCATGCAATTTTATGGTATTTTATTTTGTCTTATACAATATTATATTTTGATTAATTTCTATTTTAAACCATTTGAGTTAGCTAAAAAAAAAACAAAATGTTGTAACGCCTTGCTGATGACGGAAGCTTCATGCATGAATTTGTGTATCAGGAGAATTAATATTCTGGAATTCTTCCGAGGGAAAAGTAGAACCAAAATAAGTTGGATATGAATCTTTGGAAACTAACGGGTTGAGTGGTTGACCAATTTTTAAACTTAAAAAAATATTTCAAAGCATACAGTGATCTCCCACATGATATTAATTTTGTTCTCTAATGAAAACCATGACGTCTATGTTCTGTTTGAAACAAATTCAGATGACTCTAATTTGTTCAAGTTAATTTGATGGACTAAAACATTTGTCTCATTTTAGCTTTGACTCGAACCACTTTTATTTGAATAACATTTGATCTTATTATTACAGATTAGTTAAAATAGTTTAGTTGGTTCTCTCATTTTATGTTCACAACTTGATCACTTTATGTGTAAAAAGGATTATGTTAAACTTAAGTTCTCAAAGTTGTTGAGCAGAGTAAGGAAAATCAGCATACTGTTTGTCAAAATATTATATTATTACAAGGGCACTAAATGGGTTGTAAATGGGTAAAGATCTCGCCCCGCCCCAAGCCCTACCTACTCTCGACCCGTCCCCGACTTAAATGGGTATGGGATGGGAAACTATCTGGTGGCCCATTGCTATCGGTAAGAACTAACGTATCGACAGATCATTCTTGTTATCAACTATGTCGAATGCAAGAGGGTAAATTTAGATGTTAACATCTTGACATGTAGCAATAATCAACTTGCCTTGGTATTTGGATTTCAGAGTTGTACCGTCGACTAGAATTAGGGGTCACACAACATTTCGAAATCCCCGAATACATTGTCTAAGAGCCATAAAGAAGAATTTGAAGCAATTCTCAGCCTCCATCTCAAAAAAATGCTGAGTCAGTATTAGTTTTCTCCATGTTATGGCAATATCTGGCCAATTTAGCATAATTTTCCTCTGCCGAGCCCATTAAATCCTCCAACGCGTATTCCTTTGCTTTCCAGGCCTTCTGGTAACTCATGACTACTCCATACTCTTGACAGACGTTGTTAATGATGTCTGCTGATCTATATATTATCTGCGGATCCTGATACTTGTGCATTACCTATCGACCAATAAACCAAGCTCGGACTTTCCTGTGATCATTGTGACAAACTCCCACTTCACAAGTATATTTGTAAATTATGAAGCATTCAATTGTGTCCATCTTCGTCGCTCGCAAACGCCAACTGCAACTGTCATCTACGCATGATAGCATCAACAATGACCTATTCGATTTTTCAACTCTAAACTCGAAATTGTATTTCAGTACAATTAGGTGCACGACTCTTGCAAATCTTTCTTCGTTTCAAATAGTTGCTCGATATACAAATCCTCATTATCGAGAACCACACGTGGAGTTAGAGGACGGTCCACTCAATCTAGCCCTTGAGGTTCCACCCCACTCTTATCTTTGTCGGGATAAAGCAATCAACTCCTCGTTTGTAAAAGTATTTGCATTTTCATTCTTTGTTGTCACGAGCCGCAAAGAGGATTATGTGTGCAACTGTCTTTGGAATAATCACATCATCTTCATGAACTATCTCCATCGTATCCCAAAAATCATTAGCATTGTGATCCCCACCTTCCGAGTCTACTTGTTCGTCTTCGACGACATTATTACCTACTAAAGTCATGCAAAGAGGAGTCGCATGCTTATTATTCAATTCAATCAGATAATTCACTTCATCAACAGAAGAAATCATTATAGGTGAAATCGAAATTGATGCATGCTCACTGAATTTAAATTTCAATTCCATGTTGTACTGAGAAGGATCAACATTCAACTTGTTCTGTAAATCATTATAAAGTTCTGCATATGATGTACCTGATGATATAGAAATTGCGATACTACTACGTTTAGCACTTGTCCATTTCCATACCTATTGATTTCTTTCGTCCAATTCGAAATCACCTAAGTAACAAATCGAGACTATAACCATATCTGCATGTCGAAACAAAATTTTTAATTACAAGAAAAATATCAACGACAATAAAAATAACCCAAAAAAGTGGGAAAAAGAAAACAGTCGAAAAACAACAGGCTATTTGGCCGGCTGTTAAACAGCCGGATTAAAAAGCTGACTGTTTGAGTTGGCTGTTTATCTGGCTATTAGACAGTCGGCTAAACAGCCAACTATTTTTGTTCGACTGTTTAGCTAGCTGTTTAACATCGGTCTAACGGCCTCGCTTAACAGTTGAATCACTGGTACACGTCGGGCTGTTAACCCTCAACACTCGTCCGGCAAAATATATGCAGATGAATTTTTTCTCGTCAACTTAAAAAATTACAGATCTACTAAATTCTTTTTATCTACATTTGCCATTAAATGTCGAAATACAATTTAGCGATTTAAACGTACAATAATTTAACGAAAACAAAGTTAAATTTGCGTATATAAACTTACTGAATCAACAAGATTGATTGATGTCCACAAATTTTTCGACTTCCAATTTCGATAAATTTTTTCCTTCTGTGGTTGAAGCAGATGAAAGATGAGAATGTTTTATTTATCTGTGTTAGAATAAACAGATAAGAAAAGTAGTAAGCGTCTGGTTTTTATTTGTTAAGTAAAAGGGTATTGATGTCTTTTAAACAAAATCAACTTTTGTAATTGTATAATGTATTTAAGGGTATTTTTGTCTTTTAACATTAGATATGTCATTTTGATAACATCACTTTGTTGAGAAGTCAATGTGGAATTTAGGTGGTTTGATTGAGTCAATTTTAAAAGTACCCCCCATTTGACCGAAAGTAATCTTGAAAATGATCTTCTGCAGCTTCTTCCTCATTCTTTTCGTTTAGGTATTTTTGTTTTCACGTTTGGAGGGGGGGTGGGGGTATTGTTTATGAAATTTGCACTTGAGATCCTCAAGGTTTTGTATTCAAGTTTCTTGGTCCTTTAAGTTTGAATTAAAATCATAACGACCTTAAACTTAACAGAGTGACCATTAAGGAAACCATTCTACAACTTCACTGACCATTTCTGCAAGTTTCTAACTTTAGTGACCGTTTGTGAAATGAACCCATTATATTAAAGTTGTTATCCTTTAAAGTATTAAAAGAAAAAAAGGATAAGCCCAATAACACCTTTTTTGGCTAAGCTAAAAGTATCATCACCTCACCATATATATATATATATATATATATATATATATGAAAAGATATTTATAAGCATCATTTTATAAGTTTAACAAAACGTATTAGGTGAAGAAAACTATTCATGAAACATAAATAATGGTAATGTTATATTGGCTTTCAAAAAATGAGACGACAAAAAATGCCTAAGGACAATAATTTCAATTCTACACAGTGAAACAAAATGGAAAAGACTTGTTGTTCGGAGCCACTTGGACCATGGACAGATAGGTGCTTCCCTATAAGTAGGGGGCCTATTGCGCCCCTGGCTATTCAGGGTTTGTAGCCCTAGATGTATAGCACTGCTCAAAAGATGGGCCCATTGTTTGAAGAGACTTGCCCCAAAGTTCTTGGAGTGAAATTTTTCGAAAAATTTCTCCTATATATTTGAATCTCAATTAGATAATAAATATTTAATACACATTTTAATTAGATAGTGATAAAAAAAAAATACTCATAGAATGAGGGACTAATAAATAGTTCAGTACACATAAAAGATATGACAATGAATCCGTGTTAGGGGTATAAGCGGTTCGGTTTCACCGATTTTTGACAGATTTTCAAATCAAACGTTTAAACCGATTTGAGAAAAACTCAAACCTAAACCAAACCATTTTGAACAATTTGGAAAAAAAACTCAAACTTAAACCTAACGGTTTGGTCCGATTTTAAACCGTCGATTTTGCCATATATTTTTTTGCCCGTCTACTTTTATGTTATTAGTTCATTGAGTTTAATATATATTTCTATCTTACTAGCAATAAATCTAAAATAAACTAAGCCCCTGTTTGAACTAAATTTTTGGGATCAAAAAAATGAAAATTTGGATCGTTATCCCACAAGTCCGATCGCCTTTATTGACCTGTTGTTCCATATGTGGGACCCAGCCTCCTCTCCAACGGTCAATTTTCTCATTATGATGATATGAAAAATATGGCTCAAACAGAGGTTAAATATATCTACTATAAACTTAAATATCAACTAAATTAAAGTAAAATCATAATAAATTAAAACATCGTTTTTTCCCCATTTTTCTTCACATTTTTTAGGCTAATGACGATACAATAACATTACAATACACGTTTTCTAAACATAACAATTATACAAGTTTACATTTGTATGATGTTACGAGACGCATTTAATTTCATATTCTTACCATAGTTTGCTCCGAAAAAAATTATTAATCTGAAACGTTATTCGTAGCAAATATTATCACCAAAAGTCTAGGATCTCTTGGTCTTCGATTTGGTATAATGAACTTCAATTCAACTTTGAAGAGGCGTGAAAAATCTGAAAAAGAAGTTTGTGGTGCTGATGACTCAAAACTGTGTTGGGTGTCGACTGGAGTTCATCTAAATTCTGAAG